CTCCCATATTTCTGTACTTACTGAAAATTTAATTTTTATATAAATGTTATATAAAATATTGTGTGCCACTTATGTAGTATTTAAACATCATATTAAAACTTCATGCTGGCATCATTCTTAATAAACATGGAATGCTAGTGAGAGAAACAAGAAAGGTCCCAGGAGAAACAGTAAGAAGGATGGAGACAATAATTGATGGAAAAGAAGACAACTGGACAGATTTTCTCCTTAATTGGATGGGTGACCTTGAACCATTTCTTAACCACTGCTTAACCTTTCTGGTCTGAAACTCCTGATTCAGAAAATAAGAAAATGTAATTCCCCTTAACACTCCGCTTCGTCCTTAACAGTTAACCACATCCTGTGAATACGTATTGGTGATTTAAAATATTTAATTTTATTTAAAATTTAGAAAGACAAGATATTAGAAGAATACGTTAATTACCTTAGTTTTTTTTTTTTTTTTAATTCTACTAGGAAAGCTGTTACTTATTATCACACACTCTGGTTCTAAAATAGTCAAAACACTATTTGTGGATGATTATATTCCTAAAAAGTATTTCCTATGATACTGTTGCAATAACTGACTGTATTTACTAACCATAAAACACAGAAATCTTTAAAAAATAATGTTTGTTAAGACTTATTTTTCCTAACATTTTTTTTTCACTATAATGAATGTGGGAAAAAAATGCTGAGTCAGTCTCAATTATATAACATGGAATTTATATCTGATAATAAATCTAAAAATGTTTGCAACTATAGATTTCACATATTGAGAGGGTTCTTACTAAGTAATGAGTGATCACAGATTTAAATATACTTCAACTTGCTAAAAATATGTGGTTATATCATGTATTAAAGGTACTGTTTTGCTGTGTATATTTCCAATAAGTATTTGGGCACAGAGTTTGCTTCCTGATTTTATTTTAGATTGAGTTTGATTGTTACATCAAAATTCTAAATGAAGTTTGATTTCTGTGATAATTTGTGATGCTTATATTTATATAATTAGGAAATATTTTATAAAATATGAGACTATATATGAAGAGATGTATATACAAATACATATTTACAATGCATACATATGTGTAATACATACATATATGCATAAACATAAGTATTTTCAAACGTGTAAAAAAAGTACAGACCTTAAAGACTTAACTCCAACCTTTCTAATTCTGTTCTCTCCTCTCAAAAATTACCTTCCTAAGGGGCTGGGGTTGTGGGTTAAGGGTAGAGCACTTGCCTTGCACATRTGAGGCACTGGGTTTGATTCTCAGCACCACATATAAATAAACAAAAATATTTTTAAAAATTACCTTCCTGTGCTGTTCAAAAATAATCAAAAGTAATAATTGAATGTCAGAGCACTCTTGAGGACATCTTCACTCCTCCAGTAATTTGAAATGCCACCCCCCAAATACATCAAACCCCCATATATATGCTAATCTTTCTAGTATTAGGCTATTTTTCTAACCCTTAACTTAGAAAAATAGCTGCCTGAATCTGGCTAGGATTCTCTGTTGAAGTTCATACCTTAATCATCAAATCTGAGTCTTCATACTTTTCTAAAACATGCATGTGATGCTACAACCATCTAAATAAAGCTTTAGGTAATCCTGCAAGTTTCGATATTTATACTTTTGTTTTCCTTACATTATTCATTTCCCAATATTTTCTAATTTTCATATAATTTCTTTGTTAACTATTTAGAAATATATTTTTCTCAAATTCTTGGGGATTTCTATTTATTTTTTATTAATTTCTACTTTAATCTGATATGGGAATATGAGGTATTAATCATTCTTTTCAGTGTTTTGAGGCTCGGTTTAGCAGGAAATAAATTTCTTGAAGATAATGTAACTTTTTTATTAATTGGGCGTAGCATCTTAAGTATGTAAAATAAGTCATATCCATTATTTCCTTCGAATCTCATGTTCTTATTGAATTTTTACCTCTATGCTTTCAATTGCTAAATGAGACTTGTTAAAAATATTTACTATATTGGGCTGGGGATGTGGCTCAAGCAGTAGCACGCTTGCCTGGCATGTGTGCGGCCCGGGTTTGATCTTCAGCACCACATACAAACAAAGATGTTGTGTCCGCTGAAAACTAAAAAATAAATATTAAAATTCTCTCTCTCTCTCTCTCTCTCTAAAAAAAAAATATTTACTATAGGGCTGGGGTTGTGGTTCAGCAGTATTGCGCTCATCTAGCACGTGTGAGGCGCTGGGTTCGATCCTCAGGATCACATAAAAAATAAATAAAATAAAGGCAGTGTGTCCAACTACAACTAAGAAATAAAAATAAAAAAGATAAACCTTTAAAAATTTACTATAATTTTGAATTTTGGAGATATCAATTCATTCTTGATATAAACTGAGGCTACAATTTTTAGTTCATACAAATATTTAATATCTTCCTGATTGGTATTATTACAATTATAAAATATTTTCCTTTAACTCTAGTAATGCTCRTTTTTGACTTTGATATTTTTGCCACTGCATTAAATTTCTCTTTGTATATGTTTCCACTCAGATTTCATTGTTTCTAGACTAGATTCTTACAGGTAAGATGTTGCAACTACAAGTGATTTTTTTTTTTYMAAAAWTWRRA